GGCACATCACAAACTAACAAGGACATTACAGGCACATAGAATAAAGGGTAAAATACTAAAGAGATAAAACAATGGCTAAAGCAAAACGAAGGGTCGTCCTAAATAGAAATTAATGTGACTGGAGGAATGTGCTGAGTAGGCTACCTCAAGATTCTATTTTGGGGTCAACCCTTTTTATCATATACATTAATGACAGATCAGAATATTACAAACTACATCATCAAATTTGCAGATTACACTAAGACTTACGCACCGTAGGAAGCAAAAAGTAAATTAGGGTTTTACAAATAGATCGACACGAACTCAACAAATGGTCATGCGACTGATAAGTGCTTTTCAAGATTGAAAAATGGAAGACTATGTATGTAAGGCATAACACTGCACGTCAAAACTATCATACCACGAAGCAGACTCGTATCGACTAGGACCTATAGTTAGAATCCTCCAGTCATTGAAAGTTGCACAACAAGTGGAAACTGCAGGAAAAAACATAACTTCAAGAAACGAAAGTGGATATTCAACTGTACAAGTGTCTGACGCGCTCCCACCTGGACTACTATAGCCAAACTTGGAGACCTCGTATTCAAAAGGATATATATTCATTCTCCAAAGTTCAACACAGGACAACAAATATCATCCCAGAACTTAGTAACCAGGAACGGTTGAAGGCCGCAGGACTAACAACACTGCAAGCTAGACATGTCAATGTTGATATCCTTGAGACCTTTAAAATACTGAACAGGTTAAAGAATACTGATCTAAACCACTTCTTTAAAAGGTCAGCTATAACGAGCCACAATGGTATCTGTGCCCGAGAATTTATCACCCTGATTTACGCGGACTAAATTTCTCTCACTTAATTACTCCAACTCAATCACCTCCAATTAATTACTTTACATAAATCAGCTATTAGAATAACAAACTTCATTCCCCAACACCACTGCTTCCTTATGACGTTTGCACAACGTGGTTGGGCACGTTTGTAGTGTGGGGGTAGAAGTAGCCTAAGCTACTCTATCCCTTTGAGATGTATTTTTTTTCTTGTCTCAATAAACTTACTTGAACGTGGTTGGGCACGTTTCCTATCACCTAATGCGCATGTTGACATATCAGTAAATAGGTACCCAAATTAACTTGTTAGGTAAATAGTTAGTTTGTTGTGGAGTTGTATCCTGGGGAGGGTCAGTAATTCGATCCTGGGGAGGGGGGGGACCACAACATAAGCCTAACATGTACTGTGTGTACAAACTGGCCGTCTGTCTCCCGACACAGTGAATTGTTATCATATTATAACAATGTATTCACCTAGTTGAACTTGCGGGGGTCTTTCGGCCCGCCTCTCAACTGTCAATCAATCAACCGTTACACACAGAGATCACACTAACGTGATGCATCAACTCCTCGTCACGGCCCTTGTGGATTTGTTCAATCAACCGTTATCAACTACTTTTTTCCACATACACACCCTGGAAGCAGTCCGTAACAGCAATCTAACTCCCAGGTACCTATTTACTGCTAGGTAACAGAGCCATCAGGGTGAAGGAAACTTTGCCCATTTGTTTCCATCGGCACCGGGAATCGAACCCTGGACCACAGGACTACGTATCCAGCGTGCTGTCCACTCACCGGCCAATGTAGGAGAGAAAATATCTTTTTCCACCCATAGAGTTATAAGCCCATGGACCACATAATCGATGAAACCGTAAACTTACCCTAATTTTACCCGAATTTACCCGAGGTCCACTATCTATCTAGGGGCCACGACGGGGACAGTAAGTCAGCGGCTTGACACAGGTCCTTCCACAACAAATGCCAAGACGAACATTACTTCAGTGTCCAGTTAGAAAAATATCCCCGGGAACAATCGAGAGGGAACCTTTAACAAACCGCTAGCTTCCTGTCCCCATCGAGGCCACTTAATATGATAGCACTCAGGTAAATTCAACTAAATGTCACAGGGGGTAAATTCAGAACAGTCTACCATTAATAGCCAACATTTATAGAAGAAAATGGAAATGCAAATCTATAAACAGAAAACTGAAGGGTCAACTGCAAAAAATGTTTCCATCAATGGCCGTTTAGGTTTAGTTTATCATAATAAGGAAGCGTGTTATGCTTACGGAGGTCCCCCCTAGGCCAACTAGAGGACTTCCCCAAGATGCAACCCACAACAGTTGCCTACCTTGAGGATACCTTAAGGTGGCTCCGAGGATTAACGTCTCCACCGATCCTAGCATGCCCGAAACGCTTTGCGTAATAGTGGCTTTAGGCATTGTATGTACTAGCTATACCTATAAGTTAAACAATCCTTGTAAATATTTATTGTATGTATGTACCTTACCTAAATAAAATTGTATTGTATCCTGAAAAAAACTCTGACTCTGGTCAGACTTCCACCACTCATAGTAGGTAGTCAGGTAAACCAGGCTGTCAAGACACTGCTGCATGCAGTCTGTGAATCACAGCCTGGTTGATCATGAATCCTTTGGAGGTGTTTACTAAGTTGTTTCCTGAGCACCCTGAGAGGCCGGCCAGTTGTCCCTTATGTGTAGAGGAAGCGTGTGGAAAAAGAAGTTTTGGGGTCTTTAATGTTGATAGTTCTCTCAGAGTACCTAGTGCACCTCTGCTTTACAACGGGGGTATTCTGCACATCCTGCCATGCCTTCTGGTCTCATGCTGTTACTTCCGTGTGCAGGTTTGGAACCAATCCCTCTAATATTTTAGAAGTTTAAATTACACTGTATCTCTCCCGCCTGCACTCTAGGAATACAGATTTAAAAAGTTCAGTCGGTGCCAATAGGACGGATCACGGGTTGGCTGGTGAGCACCGCCACCAAGCTAGACGGTGGAGGCCCGTCGGCTGAACCCTCTAGCTTGGTCGGTCGCTGCCCTCCAGTCCTGCATTATCCCCATATAATTAATATTTAATGTTTTGTTAATATATTAAAGTAGCCGAGCGCGGGCAGCTCGTACAGTAGGCCGCAAGTTTGTTGTGGCGGCATTTTGCACAACTTGTGTCCAATTTACCGGAATACAAACATTAAAGAATATTTGTGAATCAATTTCACCTAGCGGTGAATGTTGGGACTCCAGCGGGTCACCTGGGAAAACATACTAACACCGATCGTAATGGTAATTGGCCAATTATCTACACATATAAAACATGACTAACCTCACCAAATGCTTTGTAGCCAGGAGTGGGTGTCTTCATTACGCCTGAAGACGTGTTCAAGTGGCGGAAGAACTGATACTCCATATTTTGTGTAGCGGACGGTGTGGTGGCCTGTGGTCCGGGGCGGCGGCGTCCCACACCGCTCCAGGAGGATGATCCTCAATTTCTACTGTAACCGAAGGTGCTCGACACTGTGGGCGTGGTAATGACGCCTTGAATGTCCAGTACCATTCACGGCAAGCACCTGCCACTCCCGTCTACAAGACAGACTGTAGAACGTGGCCGACGCACGCGTACCTACCTGGGTTACTTGTAAACAAGGAGCCGTAGCGAGTCTCAACAAGGAGCACATCATGACGGGTTTACTGGCAGGAGTCGTCGTGGCCACTGTGGTACTGGGGTGAGCTGTGGCAGGGATGATAAACGAGTGGAAGACGTCCCCGGTGGCGAGCCTTCCTCACCTCTGGTGTTGCCATAAGAATTTAAATTGATTTATCAATAAAAATGGTCTTGTTCAAGGAAAACTTTATATTTAACACACCAAACTTTCATTGTGATAAATCCAGCAATTTATATGGTATTGAATTATATAGAATTAAAAATTATATATTTGTTCTTGCTACTAGGGTCTGAAACCCCGTGTTCCTTCGGTTTCCAATTTGTAAATATTACAAATTACCGACATCTATTGGCGAAATTAGTACTTCGGAGAACTCGGTGGAAGAATTTTCCAGTGTATAGTTACCTAATTGCAGTTAGAGGATGAGAGCTACACTCGTGGTGTCCCGTCTTCCCAACACTCCTTGTCATATGATCCTTTGAAACTACTGATGGTTTTGGCCTCCTCCACCACCTCAACTTGTTCCAATCGTCTACCTCTCTGCGAATATTAATTTTCAAATTTATTTCGGCAGCACTGTTTACTTAGCTCATATCTATGATTTCTTGTTCTTGAAATTCTAGGCCTCAATAATTTTTTGTCAATTTTGTCGATTCATACAAAAACAGATTCCCGTTACTGTTTTGTACGTAGTAATTATGTCTCTTATTCTTCTATATTTGACATATTTAATGCCTCTAACCACGCCTCGTAGCTCATGTCTATCAGTTCCACAAGCTACTTAGTTGTATGTCTTTGCACCTTTTCCAGTTTAATGATGTGCTTCTTGAGATATGGGCGCCCTACAACCGCTGCATATTCCAACTTTAGTCCCACGACAAAAGTCGTGAACAATTTTTTTTAGTATTTGACCATCCATGAATTTAAAAACAAATTTGAAACTGGAAGGCGTAGCATAGGCTTCTCGCACAGTGTTCTTAATGTAGTCCTCAGATTACAGTTTTCTATGTAGAATCACCCCTAGATCTATATCTAGATCTCTTTCATTTTCAGAAATCTTTAAAGCTTAGATTTTTTAGATTTTTTCACGTAATTCGTAGGTCGTGTGTATGTGTATGTGTGTTAACAAATATACTAACAATTTAAAACAAAACCATTCCCAAGCCGGTATAATGCAAGCTATCAGCGTGTTATATTGAATTAACTTTATATCACCACTTATTACAACTTTTTACATTTGTTCCAGCGATGACCTATCAAAACAAACACCTTCACAGGTGTCTGAATAGACGCTCAGGCTTTAACTGCTAGAGAGATCAGAATCCTAATAAAGACAATCGTGCTATATTTGGGGCATAATAACAGACACTTGGCGAGAACAACTGATGCGCATTTGTTTTCATTGCCTCTCGTTTTCTATTAGTTTCATCGTCTATACCGCGCGTAGCGTGACGCACTGGGCCGCGGGTTGAAGCTGTCAGTTGTGAATCAGGACTGAGTGGGAGTGTTCGAAAATCCTGCTCCGGCTTTATAACACGTGTATACAATGAATGTGTTAAATATTTTCGAAATTAAGAGGGAATACATATGGCTTCTGCTTTTCTTCACAGCACTGTCCGGTAAGTACATCAAAAAGTATCCCCCGATCCTGAAAAAATGGCACTAACATGAAGCAATTTCCAGCTAGATCTAATGTTTGCGAAAGATGAAAAAAAAAGGTAAACAGGTTTGGCCCTTTAAAAATGGTGGCCGCGAGAGACAATAACCCCCTTCCCCTTTAAACCCACAATAGTCAACAAAGAAACATGAAACTAGAAAGACGTAGAGAATAAAGAGTAGAGAAACATGTGGTTGTGATGGTCGACACGCCAAACTATTGATTAGGGAACGCCCAGGAAGAGGTCGCTAGGGGGATTCCCAGCCACAGTGCAGGCCTACTTGATGCCAGCACCTCGGCCAGGACCTCTCTACTTTGTTCTGGTGCTGCGCTAAATACCATCCTCTTGAGGACTATGAGGACACGACAATATTTTTCTGGCCGCCCAGCAAGCTTGGTTGATATAGGCCTTTAAGCCTATCACCCTTCCAGAGGTTGATAGGCTTAAGGCCTATCAACCTCTGAAGGGTTATTAAGGCCACCACAATAGCTAACTGATCAACCACCAAGGTTACTTTAGTCCTGAACATTGTCAAGGAGTAATATATATATATATATATATATATATATATATATATATATATATATATATATATATATATATATATATATATATATATATATATATATATATATGCAGAATAACCACATATGAAAAATAGAAAATGCTTAACGCGTTTTCGGCTAATTCGCCTTCATCAGAGCAAAGTAGAATCATTCTACTTTGCTCTGATGAAGGCGAATTAGCCGAAAACGCGTTAAGCATTTTCTATTTTTCATATGTGGTTATTCTGCATACTTGGATCAGTGTTTTTGTGATCATTGTTGCATATATATATATATATATATATATATATATATATATATATATATATATATATATATATATATATATATATATATATATATACTACGCGATTTTAGCTAACCTTTGTGTGATGGGAGCTGACTACGTGGAGTTTAAATCATGCTAGTATATAATATGTATGAATTAATAATTGATAATAGTATAATTAATAAATGCATATTTCATCATTATATTTGGATAAACATAATAATTATATTAGTTATACAAATCAATTGATATATTTCTACAAAATATGTCTTTGTGACTTCTGTATTTGCACGAATGGTTGTTCTTCGTGTATAAGGACATACGTATACATATTGAAATGAATTGTTAAAAAAACGAGGTATACATAAGGCTGTATAAAACTGACTTATGTATGAGAAATCAAATGAATATTGTTCCATTCATTTTTACGTGTGGTGGATGTATGAGGCTGCAAGAGTCCTGTTTACAAATCTAATAAATATTAATGGAAACAAAACACTTATGATGGAAACGCTATTTTGTAGATGTTGTGCTCCAGCTCTTGGTCCCAGTACGCTATTAAAAACTTGGAACTATACCCATCGTGTGGGTGGTAGTGGACCCCATACCCATCCTGTGAGTGGTACTGGACTCCATACCCATCCTGTGAGTGGTACTGGACTCCATACTCATCCTGTGAGTGGTACTGGACTCCATACCCATCCTGTGAGTGGTATTGGATCAGTATGTTCACTCACAGGATGAATGACTGGTTAATAGAGTTGATCTTCGGGGTAACAAAACTATCACATCCGGTACACTTCACGTCTTAGACAGGATCAGCTGTCAAGGGTGATGCGTCTGGCAGCCATCTGGCTGACAAGCGTCATCCGGAAAACTCTTTTACTCTTTAAAACGGAAGCCCAAGTTGTAGAACGTTTCCATTTGGCTCGTTATCCTGCTCGCGGAACCATGTAATTTATCTTGAGACGAATCGTCGCGGACACTTCCGGCGAGATGTTTCCTGCCATATCTAGGTTCTGTGAGTAGGATCTAAGACCTGAGAAAACTAGGAACCCCTCTACGTCATCACTGCTCTATGAACAAGCCTAACTTATCCTAACCTAACCTGGCTGAACCTAACTTAACCTAACCTATCCTTACTTAACCTAACCTGGCCGAACCTAACCAATCCTAACTTAACCTAACCTGACCGAACCTAACCTATCCTACCTTATCCTAACCTAACCTGGCTGAATCTAACTTAACCTAACCTATCCTAACTTATCTTAACCTAACCTATCCTAACTTGTACTAACCTAACCTGTCTGAACCTAATTTACCCTATCCTATCCTAACTTCACTTAACCTGGCCGAACCTAACCTATCCTAACTTATCCTAACCTAACCTGGCTGAACCTAACTTAACCGAATGAAAATAAGAGATATAACGTTCTGTTTTATATATGATATGGAGGAGGTGAGTGGCGCCACTCTGACGGTATATAATATTCAGGCCGGTACACACTATACCAAGTTACAGCCCCGCTCCTGTGCCAGGTAAGTCTGCTACGGGCTCACCATAGCCCGTGCTACTTGCAACTTTTTGTTCCTAGAAGCTGAATCTTAAACAACATAGAGACTTTACACCTTACTGGTGTTTAGGGAGGGGGAGTTGTTGGTCTACCACAGACGTGGCCACACATTTACAATGCTAAACAACATATATATAGTGCCTTCTGTCCTCCATGAACAGGGTTAGAGATAAATCATATAGTTCAGTGATTTATTGAACAATCAACTACAGAAGGTGATTGTAGTGCTTTTAGAATGTTAATCTAACGTACATACATAAATATATAGATTTATGTATGTAGGAAACAGATTTACGTCTGTCCTACGTAAACAGGGTTCGAGGTGTCTGTTTACATAGTGTCATTAATGTGCGTTTACAAAGGTGAAATGCAATTCTGACCAGCTTACACACACACACACACACACACACACACACACACACACACACACACACACACACACACACACACACACACACACACACACACACACACACACAGAGGGCATATAGGTGGGCACTACACAGACAGGCAGTACACAGGGGGGGAGGGCGGGGGCAGACCACCTTGACATAGAAACACATGAAAGATTTCTCTCCCCCAACACCCTCCCCACCTCTATCTCCACCTCTCTCTGTCTTCCTTAATCTCCTCTAGCCAGGTGTGGGCAAGATGGGAGCCAGGTGTGGGCAAGATGGGGGCCAGGTGTGGGTAAGATGGGAACCAGGTGTGGACAGGATGGGGGCCAGGTGTGGACAGGATGGGGGCCAGGTGTGGACGGGCCGTGTCAGAGCGACCTACCGCGGACAATCCTGTTTTATACTGTATCAGGTTGCTCACTTCCCCCTCGACCCCCCCCCCCCTGGTGTGTGACGCTCCCCACTCCGTCACCCTGGTGTGTGACGCTCCCCCACACCCGTCACCCTGGTGTGTGACGCTCCCCACTCCGTCACCCTGGTGTGTGACGCTCCCCCACACCCGTCACCCTGGTGTGTGACGCTCCCCACTCCGTCACCCTGGTGTGTGACGCTCCCCACCCCCGTCACCCTGGTGTGTGACGCTCCCCACCCCGTCACCCTGGTGTGTGACGCTCCCCACCCCCGTCACCCTGGTGTGTGACGCTCCCCACCCCGTCACCCTGGTGTGTGACGCTCCCCACCCCCGTCACCCTGGTGTGTGACGCTCCCCACCCCGTCACCCTGGTGTGTGACGCTCCCCACCCCCGTCACCCTGGTCTGTGACGCTCCCCACCCCGTCACCCTGGTGTGTGACGCTCCCCACCCCCGTCACGCTGATCTGTGACGCTCCCCGCCCCGTCACCCTGGTCTGTGACGCTCCCCACCCCGTCACCCTGCTCTGTGACGCTCCCCACCCCGTCACCCTGGTCTGTGACGCTTCCCACCCCGTCACCCTGGTGTGTGACGCTCCCCACCCCCGTCACCCTGGTCTGTGACGCTTCCCACCCCGTCACCCTGGTGTGTGACGCTCCCCACCCCGTCACCCTGGTGTGTGACGCTCCCCACCCCCGTCACCCTGGTCTGTGACGCTCCCCACCCCCGTCACCCTGGTCTGTGACGCTCCCCACCCCGTCACCCTGGTGTGTGACGCTCCCCACCCCCGTCACCCTGGTCTGTGACGCTCCCCACCCCGTCACCCTGCTCTGTGACGCTCCCCACCCCGTCACCCTGGTCTGTGACGCTTCCCACCCCGTCACCCTGGTGTGTGACGCTCCCCACCCCGTCACCCTGCTCTGTGACGCACCCCACCCCCGTCACCCTGGTGTGTGACGCTCCCCACCCCCGTCACCCTGGTCTGTGACGCTCCCCACCCCGTCACCCTGCTCTGTGACGCTCCCCACCCCGTCACCCTGGTCTGTGACGCTTCCCACCCCGTCACCCTGGTGTGTGACGCTCCCCACCCCGTCACCCTGCTCTGTGACGCACCCCACCCCGTCACCCTGCTCTGTGACGCTCCCCACCCCGTCACCCTGGTCTGTGACGCTTCCCACCCCGTCACCCTGGTGTGTGACGCTCCCCACCCCGTCACCCTGCTCTGTGACGCACCCCACCCCCGTCACCCTGGTCTCGGAGATACTAACCTGTATATAAAACAAAATGCTAAATCAACATTCAACTTATACACATCACTCATCGCATTTAACGCAATTGTAACGAAACATTTTAAAATTAACTGGAACTGTGACAACTGCTTCAGAAACAGTACAGTCTTGTCATATTAAAAACAATTCCATTAATCATCACTCACACTATATTCATGATTAATTTTTTTGCAACCTGTCCTCTTTAATATTTGATCGACCAGTTCGCTAAATTTGCAACATATTAGTAAACATTAAATCAATGTAATATTAACGTTTTCTTTAGAACTGTTTGCATTCGTAGGTTTATTAGAGAAAACCGTTAACGGTTTGTAACAGTTTTTAACGTTTTTAACGGTTTTAACGGTTTTAACGGTTTTAACACGGTGGCAAATGAAAGACTGGAGTGAAGAGTGTTGTTGATGTCGTGAGGCAAGAGCATCAAGTAATGCGTCAAGCATCAAGCAACACTTCCC